AGGATAATGCTATGACAAGAACTGTTCATGGGAGAACAGTGACAGAGGGAAATGGAATCACCAGAAACATACATAACTTCAAATTTCTGTGTGGCTTCGTGTTGTGGCATGACATACTGTTTGAAATAAATGTTGTAAACAAGAGACTCCAAGGTGTTGACCTTGATATATCTGGAGCAATGGAACAACTGGACAAAGCAAAGTCATACCTACAGTCTTACTGGTCAGTTGAGGGATTTCAAAACATTCTGAAGAGTGCACAGAAGTTGGCAGAGGAACTGCACACTGAAGCTATTTTCCCACACATTCAAGAATACAAAAGTCACCGAAAAGAAGACATTTTGATTACGAGGCACGGGATAATTCCATAAGAGACCCCAAACAACAATTCAAAGTTGAATTCTTTAACCAGATACTAGATTGTGCAATACAGTCAGTTGCAAGAACGTTTCATGCAGCTCAGGGAACACAGCAGTATATTTTGGATGTTGCATGATATTCCAAAACTCCTCACTATACCTGAAGAAGACCTACACCAGCAATGCAGGACACTAGAGACAGTATTGACATATGATGACATGCGCAATATTGATGCAAGTGATTTAGGTGATGAACTGAAAGCCCTTTCAAGATACATTTCAGCAGGATCAACTCCAAAGGCTATTCTGGAATATATGTGCACAAATAAGATGACCACCCTCTTTCCAAATGCTTTTGTTGCTCTGTGCATACTTCTAACACTTCCTGTAATAGTTGCCAATGGAGAATGCAGCTTCTCCAAGCTGAAGTTAATAAACACATCTACGCTCCACAATGACACAGGAGAGGCTGGTCGGCCTTGCAACCATCTCAATAGAGCATGAGCTGGCCTAGACTGTAGACCTTCAGCAGGAAGCAGTTCAAATCTTTGCAACCAAGAAGGCACGGAAAGCACCACTTTGATTATTCAAACAGATAAAAATGGCAGTGTTTACTATGCAGACAATAAAAGTTACATTTGCTGTTCAGGCATTTGAAAGTTAAGTGTTACTTAAAATTTTTGAACAAGGCATTTTAAGTTGTTAGTTCTTCTTTATTGGGGTAGGTAGCAGAGCAGTACCATGAGAGGAGTAGAACAGGAAGAAGGCAGAATTGAGACCTTTCAAAGTTTTGGCCCAAGCGAGGGGGTATGGGGACATCATTTGAGCTCCCAGCCTCGGGTGCCAAAATGTTGTGGGCCGGCCCTGCCCTCACATCATATATTTAATGACACAGGCGTAATTTCAGCAGGTAAGCTACATTTCTGAACTTCCTACATTTCGGATGAAACCCCAGTTGGAAACCTCTGAAGGACACAAAGGCAGATTTATTAAACCAAATGTAATTTATTTCAGACACTCTTTAAAGAAGCTAAGCTCTATGGGATGGTCTGCTAGCTTTGAAGGCTCAGATATAGCAGAAAGTCAGATGAGCGGAACACATAGAAAGCCTGTTCCCTCACTCACTGCTATGGCATATGGTCCCAGCTTTCTGAATAAAGTGTCATTATTTTCTTTCTGAATTTGTCCCATTGAAATCCTTCCATCCTTTTCATTCTTCTCTCACATTGCCTGCCTGAATCTGCTGCACATCGTTCCAGGCCTTGGCATTCTCCTTTTTCTTTTGACAGCAGATATTTTTTGCCAGTGGTTTGCTTATTAATCCAGTATTTTACCTTTCATCACCCGGTCCAGGGCTGCGACAGAAGATAAAGCATATTCTTGTCTTCTTGATTGTTGCTTCAGCGCCTAATCCTCCTATTAGTGTGTGAAGGGCTTAGATACAGCCTGTTGGGGGAGGGGAGGGAGTCTGACAGCTTGCCCAGCTACAGGTCAGAACATTCAGTCCAGGTTGTTTATGAAGCGGTGTTTTGTTACACACTCAGTAGATGTTGTTTCTTTGTATTCTTTAGCATCTATTCCCTGAAGAAGGCTCATGGCCTTCAGGCTCACCGAGATACTAAAATAAACTAAAAAAGGCCTTGAGAAAAATAAAATCTGTCTGACACAGGGATGGATGGACTGACTGCAGTATCTGGGCGCAATCCTGCTTTCACTGAAGGCTGTGGGGAAGAGAGAGAGAGAGTTCAACACTACACTCTCTGCTGACTAATACCAGCTACTGGGAGGTCCTTCTGCCATGGTTCAAGACTCTATTTTCCCACCTAGATAACGGATGGCTGGACAGCCCCAGTGCCCAGCCCTGTAGCAGAACACTGTTTGTTCTCATGAGCTTAGCAGTGCCACTCTGATCTGACCTGGCAGTGCTCATGCTCAGCACTTAGCTATCGAAGTTGTAATAAGCGGAGCTTTTTTTTTTTTTCTTCCCTTCTTCACACAACACACAGTCAGTCTGTGGAACTCTTTGCTAGAGGATGTTCTGAAGGCCAAGACTATAACAGGGTTAAAAAAAGAACTAGATAAGTTCATGGAGGATAGGTCCATCAATGGCTATTAGCTAGGATGGGCAGGGATGGTGGCCCTATTCTCTGTTTTCAGGAAATGGTTTTGTTACCGGGAAAGGTGTCCACTGAGACTAGATTGATAGTCTAGGGAATGTGTGCGAGGGAATGGATCACTTGATGATTACCTGTTCTGTTAATTCCCTCTGGGGCACCTGGCATTGGCCACTATTGGAAGACAGGATACTGGGCTGGATGGACCTTTGGTCTGACCCAGTATGGCCATTCTTATGTTCTTATGAAACTTGTAAGAGGGTTTAGTTCACTTTCAATAATAACTCCTACCCAAACCCCAGCTCTGATTGAAGCAGACATCAGCACACATTCATTAGGACACTTCAGAGAGTTTGGTTATCAATCTAGTCTCAGTGGACACCTTTCCCAGTAACAAAACCACCACAGATTGCCATGATTAGCAGCCTGTGCTTAGTCGTTTCAGAGATATTTTATGACAGATGCATTGGCAAAGCTGTGTAGGGGGTCTGAGGATTAGAATAGAATTTAACTGCAGTGAGATTCACGGACAGTGCTAATGGTGTGTGACCAGGACTGGAATAACAAGGGGTCCCGAATTGGCATCTAAACCATGCTGATTGTCACAATAGAAATGCCATGGGCTAAATTTGATTAAGTAGAACTGAGGCTTATTGGAAGATCTGAGTGAGGGAAATTTGCATATCATCTGTCTGTCTAGAGCTTGGATAGCATCTATTTCTGGCTCAAGTCATTGCTGTTAGCCCCTTTTTTAAATTGACACCACAATTTCCCCCCAAATTAAAACAAAAAGACAAATCTACCTCACCACCCCTTGCACTTTCTTATGTAGAAACGAAGATGCATTTAAATAATATTTGGCCTAAATATTTGCAATTTGCCCTCCCACTAGCCAAGCCTGACCTCTACTTCCCATTTCACCTGAACCAAACTACTTGCACAACATGGTGTCAACATGGAACACAGAACTGACCCTCAGGTGCAGCTTTCCAATATTATATGTCCACACAAATAAGTTCCTCTTGTTGAACCCGACAGAAAATGTGGGTCTGGCTTTGTGATAGGGAAATCTGTCTATTTAAGAGACTGTTGGTTTCTTTTAAAGACTGCTTGATCTCTAGGACAGGCTTTATTGAGTCTATAGCAGATAGGAACATAGGTATTGTCATATGACATTGGACTAGTGGTCTATCTATTCTGGTTTCCTGTGGCCAGTATGAGATGCTTCAGGGGAAGGTGCATAAAACCCTATAAGTGACAATTATGGAATAACCTGCTGTCAAGGCTGTATCCCCACTTTGAACCTTAGGGTACAAATGTAGGGGCCTGCATAAAAACTTCTAAGCTTATCTACCAGCTTAGCTTTGGTCCGCTGCCACCATCACAAGAATTCCCTCCCTAGGAAGCCTTGAGAAACCTTTCACCAATTCCCTGGTGAACACAGATCCAAACCCCCTTGGATCTTAAAACAAGGAGAAATTAACCATCCCCCCTCCTTCCTCCCACCCTCCTTTCACCAACTCCTGGTGAATACAGATCCAAACCCCCTTGGATCTTAAAACAAGGAGAAATCAATCTGGTTCTTAAAAAAGAAGGCTTTTAATTAAAGAAAAAGGTAAAAATCATCTCTGTAAAATCAGTATGGAAAATACTGTACAGGGTAATCAAACTTAAAGAGCTCAGAGGACCCCCCTCTGTCTTAGGTTCAAAGTACAGCAAACAAAGATACACACTCTGGTAAAAAGGTACATTTACAAGTTGAGAAAACCAAGTAAATCTAAGACGCCTTGTCTGTCTTTTTACTTACTAGTTTGAAATGGGAGAGACTTGTTTAGAAAGATGGGGAGAACCTGGATTGATGTCTGGTCCCTCTCAGTCCCAAGAGCGAACCACCCCTTAAAAACAAAGAGCACACACAAAAGCCTTTCCCCCGCCAAGATTTGAAAGTATCTTGCCCCCTTATTGGTCCTTCGGGTCAGGTGTCAGCCAGGTTACCCGAGCCTCTTAACCCTTTACAAGTAAAAGGATTTGGAGTCTCTGTACACAGAGAGCTGTTACCCTTCCCTTTATAGTTATGACACCTGCCCATAAAGGAAGTTTTGTCTTAAGTTTTCTAAGTTAGTGATTGGTTTATGCCCTGAAACATGAAGGTTTATATCCCTTCTAAATTTTATATCCTATCTAGTGTATCTCTGGAGGCTCTTGTTATATGTACAGAATGTCTAGTCCTGTAAACCTCTGGGCTTCAGTGATAGCCGTGTGCACAATATGACTGCTATTCGAGTTCACAGCTTTGCTGAGAAGTGATGGCTGGGAGAAGAGTATATCTACCCTCCAGGTCTTTGGCCTCCACCGCCAAGAGAATTTCAATAACTAATCAATAGCCTAAACACTTGTCAACTCACCTGTCTGTATTGTTCTTGAATCTATGTATATGGTCTTCTTGTTATGAAAAGGGGGAAGAAGAGGGAGGGAACCGTGAATATTTGTCACTAACAATTTCAGCTTTTATTTTCTGCTCACTCAGGATGAATGAATTTTGCAACTCTGGTGGCAAGTGCCATGTCAAGCAACACTCAGTGGAAGCACAGGAGAGATCAAAGAGCAGAATTACATTTTTGATCATGGGGTTTGGAGAGGAGGGAAGAGAATCTAAAAAGATGCACCCATTAGGAGGAGAAATAAATGGAATAAAAAGAGCAAGAGATTCCCTTCAAAAGTTCTCCTCACTTTGTCCCCTGATTTTTTTGGACCTTTTCACAAATCACAATGAAACTATTTAGAACTTTATAAAAATGTTTGACAGGAGCTGTGCAGGAAGCAGATGTTTCTCCCTTTTATTATGACTTTAACCTTCACTTTCCAGTAAGAGTCTTGTGCTTGTCTGAATTATTGATCTGTCCAGATGTAAACTTTTTATTTTTTCAAAAGCCAGCGATGGAGATTAAAGCATCAGGATCCCGTCTGTTCTGTGGATTTACTGCATCTCCTTGCTGTCATGACTGTGTGATGTTTCCTAGTTACCTCTTGGTGACTGGGGCATAATGGCATGGAGCTTCTGGCACAGCAAGAACCCAGCTGATGTTCAAAGTTCCTGGAAATGTTTCCTCATCATTAGTCTGGGATTTTTAGTTAATAAATAAAGTGTGTTCCTCGTTGGTCAAATTGTGCAAAGAAAATGGGCCTTAGAACAAATAGAAAGTTTGTATGTATTCTGTGAAATGAATAAAAAGATGTCACATCCCTAAGTCTGTCTATGAATGTTAAGTTACAGATGGAAGAAAAAAACAAACAAACTGTGGGATCACCCAGTTCAGCTCCCAGGCGCAAGTCTGGATTGCCCCATACAGGACATTTTCTAGCAAAATTATGACTCATTATGGGTGATTTCAAATGAATAAATTTATATCCAGTGTATGCCATTAAAAATTCAACATTTGCCACACAATTTCCCCCAGTTTTGTGTTCTGAAAATGGGGCTGAAATTAATATGGATCTTTATTTTCACTGGCATTTTCCGACTCATTTTAATGATGTCTGTCATGAGAAATTTTAAAAGGATACTATTGGAGTAGATACCTAATTGATTTTCAGTGGAAGTGGGGTGGCTCTCTGCTTTGAAAAGCCCAGCCTTAGAATCTAAAGTAAAATTACCCTTTCCAATTAGAACAGTTGGAGGGTAGGTGAAATGTTGGATTGAAAGTACTCTACAATCTCCTTTTATGTGTTTGAGACATTCTGGGGCACAATCCAGACTAGTGTGTGTGTGGGGGGGGGGGGGACTGTGTCGCCCACGCCCTGTAACCTGGGGTGCCCTTTATAATGCTCTGCTGTTGTAGCCTCCAACCTGGGCTGCTCACAAACAACCTCCAGCATGTAAGTCACTCCCAGCTATATCTGTATGTACTACAGCCAGCCAGCCAGCCATACCTTGGCTCTCACCAGCCTTGGTTATGCAGCAGGGCAACCTCAATACACCCCCAGTCCTGGATCTTCCCCCAGAAATGTTTGTCCTGTACTGCCCAGCCCTCTCCTGGACAGTACAAATATAATAAGCCTGTTATTCCTTTAAGGGAATAATATGCCAGTTTATTATTTTAAATAGTTATCCAGACACTTCAATTTAAACACACTGAATTAGATTAAAACAATGAAACAAGTTTATTAACTACAAAGACAGATTTTAAGTGAGTACAAGTAATGAGGCGTAAAAGTCAGAAATGGTTACAAGATAAAACGCTTACTGGTACTTAACTTAAAAATTATATTAGATTCAAAGCTTCCTAGCCTTCAGAGCAAAGTTTTGTCACCACATGCTTTCGGCAGTCTTATTGACCGAACTCTTTAGGTCAGGACCCTTCCCCCAGAGTCCAACAGCTGCTTCCTTTGTCTTTTCAGGTGCAGAGAATGTGATGGGTAGGGAGAGAGAGAGGGGTTTCTTGGAGTGTCTACCACTTCTTTTTATAAGAACAGTCATACTGGGTCAGATCAAAGGTCCATCTAGCCCAGTAGCCTATCTTCTGACAGTGGTCAATGCCAGGTGCCCGAGAGGGAATGAACAAAACAGGTAATTGTCAAGAGATCCACCCCCTGTTGCCCATTCCCAACTTCTGGTAAACAGAGACTAGGGAGACCATCCCTGCCCATCCGAGCTAATAGCCATTGATTGACCTACCCTCCATGAATTTATCTAGTTCTTTTTTGAACCTTGTTATAGTCTTGGCCTTCACAACATCCTCTGGCAAGGAGTTCCACAAGTTCATTGTGCATTGTGTGAAAAATATTTCCTTTTGTTTGTTTTAAACCTGCTGCCTATTAATTTCATTTGGTGACCCTTAGTTCTTGTGTTATGAGAAGGAGTAAGTAACACTTCCTTATTTACTTTCTCCACATCAGTCATGATTTTATAGACGTCTATTATAGTCCTGTCCCCCCCCTTTGAGAAGCATTTCCTCAGTTGGGAGCAATGAGACAGGCAGTCTGCGTGGAAGGAAACTCCATGCTGTTTCTTTGCTAAGATGTAGATTTATGCCCCTACCCCTTTCCTGCCAAAGAATGGCCACTTAGCAGGTAATGGTCCATCAGCCTTTGTCTCTGAGAAATGTGTTTGGCCACTGCCCACATTTATCTGGAAAAAGATACGTTTAGTCATTATCTCAGCTCATGTTTATAACTTCACATGTAACACACCTACGTGCATTTTGCCATGCTATTACTGATCATCAAATTATTTGGTTTTTAAATGATTCCTCATAAAGCATATTTTATATCAGGGGTTAGCAACCTTTCAGAAGTGGTGTGCCAAGTCTTCATTTATTCACCCTAAGGTTTTGTGTGCCAGTAATACATTTTAATGTTTTTTAGAAGGTCTCTTTCTATAAGTCTAGAATATATAACTAAACTATTGTTGTATGTAAAGTAAATAAGGTTTTTAAAATGCTTAAGAAGCTTCATTTAAAATTATATTAAAATGCAGAGCCCCCCGGACCAGTGGCCAGGACCCGGGCAGTGCGAGTGCCACGGAAAATCGGCACACGTGCCATAGGTTGCCTACCCCTGCTTTATACAAATGTTAATACAATAGCCTATAGGGTGTGAAGCCAGGGGTATATTCTGTCACAGTGTGAAAGCATTTGTTTCTAGGTAATGAGATTTACCTTTTGTTCCAGTTAAGATGAGCAATCGGTCTCTGTGAATTGCCTTGTTAAATGACAAACTGAGTGACTAAAGTAGCAGAAAGAGGAAAGCTCCTCAATCTGATCCAGATTCAGATGTCCATCAGAACTCCGGGAGTTGGATAAAATGTGACGCAAAATCCAAAACATTTACTTGTATTTACTGGGAGGTGAGTGATTCAGTCTGACCAAGTGTGGCAGAGAAACAAATACCATAGTTTGGGATTCAGCTTTGAGGGAGCTCCAGTCCAAGCAACTCCACGGATCACTGTAGAAGAGGGGCAGTCTCTCCAACTTAAGTTCTTTTTGGAGTTTGTTACATCTATACATCTGTTGACCAGACACTTGGACATACTTAGCGCAGTCCCCACCCAATGGCAGGAGCTAATGTTTATACTTTAACCCAGCAGAGAATCCATATGAGACCCTCTTGCTCTAAAGAGAGCTGCTCTCCCATTGGCTGAGATGGTAGGAGCTATGCTGTAGTGTAATCTCACCTGGAAGTCACTGTCTGTATATTTTACAGCCATCAATGCTAACACAATTGGGGAGGTGGCAAACGGTCAGATTCTAATTGATTCTAACTGAAAAATGTAAATGTGCTCTTCCTTATTGAAATCTAGATACACAATGGGCCAGATTCAGAGTGGGTATATTATTTAGATCATGAGTTTTTGTGGCTAGGTACTTTTTCTTCTACATGTCTGTAAAGTGCGTACATGGAGTTGTTGCTATAATAATAGCCAAAAAATAATAAAGTGTAAGTAGATGCAAAACCACTGATGTCAACAGAGTTGAACACACTTTCACCTGCTCTGAATTTGGCTCACCTCATGTAGTTTTGCTCACCACATTTAGGGCCTGATTCTCCATTGCCTTGCACTAGTGTTTGCTCATTTGCACCCGAGCAAAATGAATGTGAAGTGGGTATAAAATGCTACCATTCTGTTTTCGCAATGCTTAACCCCTGCCACTTTTATATTGGCGTAAATGACTTCACAAGTCACAGGGACACAATGAATTAGGCTCTTATATGGTAACTAACATCTCCATAGGAGAAATGCTACTGAACTGATCCCTGTCACTATCATCTGTCCCCCTGAATTTATAAGGATTCATGAGGTAAATTATCCAATAATAGCCTGAAGGTGATGATCGGAATTGAGAAGCCACTGTGAATTATGCCATTGCATAGATTGCTTGTTAAAATATCTTTTCCTGCTTTTACCTACCCAGTCAGCCTAACTTATGCAAATTAAACAGCTTTTCTGTAGCATTTGTTCATCCTTACTAGTACATTTTCCAGTCCTAAAACTCCATATATTAACTAATAATGTAGCACTTTGTGTTTGGCACTGTCATATTACATATGCATAATTTCTCCCTCAATACAAAAGTCGCTAATGGATCGTCACTCTGCAAATGCACCCAACTGTTTCGAGGGCTGGAGGAGTGGGAGGGAGAGACATACTGAAGGCTAGACTGCTAAGTGACATTACTTGTGAGTATATGGCACATTTCCATAAGGAAATTGATCGTTCATTTTTTGAATTCACAGTGAAAGATTGGCTCCGGGAAGCGGGACTAAAATGGTAAAATAGCAAATGTTTCATCCAATTTAAAGCATGCACAGCCCATCATCACGCTGGTGTTGGCTAGCACCTTGATTTAAATTACATGGCTTGTTAGTAGAGCTATGCCTGTAGCAATATCACCTTGGGTTGAGGCCTTGTCACTTTGTAAAGCACTAGAGCTGGCTGAAATTTTTTAAAACTTTTTTTGGTTGCAAACATTTTCACAAAAAAGCTGCCTCCCCCTCCCCATTTCTGATGAGTTCCGCTAAGCGGGGATGGACCGTGATAGTATATGGACAAGAGACCTCCCAAAAAAATCCAAATGCAGCAGGATATGCTGTTCTAATAGGTGGCACTCTTCTCTCCAAGTCAGTAGTGAAACAGTGTTCCAGCACATTATTAATGGGTGCTATGCTACTGCAGGTGCTGATTAAAGATTCATAGATGTTAAGGCCAGAAAGGACCATTAGATCATACAGCGTGACCTCCGGCATAACACAGGCCATAGAAATTCATCCATTATTGAGATCAATAACTTGAGTTTGACTGAAACATAGCTCCCAAAAGGCATCCAGTCTTGATGTGAAGACTTCAAGAGATGGAGAATCTCCACATCCCTCGGTAGTTTGTTCCAATGATTAATCACCCTCTCTATTAAATATTTGTGCCTTATTTTTAATTTGAGTAGGGCTGTCAGTGTGTGGAAATTAAAGACCTTATTTTGCCTTTCTTTAGAAAGCCTTAATACCTAATATGTTTCTTCCCCTGAAGGTACTAATACACTGATCAGCTCATCTCTTCTTTTTGTTAAACTAAAGAGATTGAACTCCTGGAATCGAGCAGAAAAGCATTTTTTTTCCTGCCCTCAAATCATTTTTGTAGCTCTTCTCTGCCCTCTTTTTCTCTAATATTTCACATCCTTT